TGGTGCTACCCTGCTGTCGCAAAGATTTCCATACGCAGTCTTGATGGCCGCAGCAAGCCTAAGACTCTCCTCGTGCGTCTGCGAGTTGCACACCCCATCGCGCGTCAAGACCCTGAACTTGAGAAGGAGGAAAAGCGCGCAAGGGATCACGTCCTTACTCACCGCCCATCTTTGACTTCCGTTTCTTAGCCAGTTTGACACACGCGTACAAGTTCTGGTCATCAAGTAGCCGGGCTCGATTCGTAGATCCGATGGGTTGATCAAGGCGAGGAGTGTCCTGAGGTCGGCTTCAGTCGCCGCGGACATGATGTTGTATAAGAGGTCTGGGGGTACACTGGTGATGAAGCCTGCGAGTTTGGTCAAGTCCTCGTCTAGGTAGTATTGCGTAATGTCTGCGGTGGGCACGCTGCCTGGATTTGTACGTGGGGTGTATGGAGGCGAGGTCCGCATGGTTGACATTTCCTCGTTATCGTAGTGGCCCGTCGCTACCTAGGCATGTAGTAAGACTGTACAATATGTGAATGGATCCGGAGAAGAGAATTTGTTACGTGAGTTGGGGATTGTGTACTTTACTCTAGTACTTTGGAAAGACCTTGTAGCGCCTAAAGTCATTGTATGTCGAACTAGTTCGCGAGTATGCACAGTGCATTCTAGTCCATCTGTTCGTTGAACGAGACGACGATGGTCATTAGAGGATTGGCCGAGCCATATAGCTACCTGCGCCTGTCTTTCTCCTTGTCGCTAGCTGTGATGTTCGTGAAGGCAGACTCTGGATTCACTAGTTTGCGGAATCGCGCGCCGCGAAGGGAGGATTGGCGCTTTGATGTTGCGCTCGTACTACTGCCTGCATGGTGTTGGTTGATGGCTGGGTGTCGGTGCGCCTGCGCCCAAAGATAGGGTGAAAGACATGTCCGTATCGGGCTAGATCTCCCGGGGCTCCGCAGCTTCTTTCCCCGCATGCTGCACCTGCCCGTCCTCCACTCCCCAATGGCTGTCCCGCTGCCACCTGCCTCCAACCTCCACGCCATTCTCCTCGTCACCAAGTCGCGGTCACTCGGCCCCCGTCTCGTCTTCCACTACCCACCGCTGTCACCTTCAGCAGCCGCACTCGCCGCCGCGAAAGACCCGGCTTGGTTCAGGCACGACACGTCAACAGCCAGCATCGATTCGCGCAGCTCCGACAGCGAATGGGACAGCAGCACCGACTCAGACGACGACAATGACATCGAGATAGGCAGTCGCACCAGCGGCGGTCGCGCATCGGGGAGGACTCTGACCGGCCGCGTGAGCGACAAGTCGAAGCTGGGATCGGGGCTATGGGGCAAGCAGGAGACCATCGACGAGGAGGATGCGGACGACGACAATGACCAGGACGGTAATGGACATCGAGGCAAGGGCGGAGATCACGACTGGGACACGGTGCTGGGCTTCAAGATGGATGCGCTGGAGAAGATGTTGAGCCCGAGCAAAGAGTACAACAAGAGGCGCTTCGAGCTTGGTGTTGAGAGCATCGTCTTTCTTGGCGCACCCATGTTTGTAAGGGACGACGGGCTCTGGAAGAAGGCGAAGCGGAAGAAGAAGAAGCGTTCGGATCAACAGAAGCTTGAGGATGGCGATCTGGTCAGGAACCTCACGAGCGCAAGCGACGACGACGACGCGAACTCCCCCGAACCGTCGAACGAACCCGTCCCAGGATTCGAGCCAGGCTACGGCCACGACTCCATGTCGAGTGGACCGTCGGAGGCTGGATCAGATGCACGCAGCAATTCGACGAGCCTTGACATCAACAACCCAGACATGACCATGTTCAACGTCGTCTTCGTGCTGAACCCGCCTGCGCTGGAATACCAACAACGCGTCAAGGAGATGTACGAAAACGTCACGCGCAAGTATGCCAAAGCACTCAAGTACGAGGAGGCGCGCTTCCAGTACGTGTGGAAGGAATCCAAGCGCATCATCGACATCAAGCAGCGCGCCAAGGAGACGAACGAGTCTTTGACGGCGACATGGCGCAAGATTGTCAGCACGTCACCCCTCGCTAAGTCTATCGCTATCATGTTCGACGCGATCTCGCACGACAAGATAGCCCACATCCACTTCGATGCGACGTTCAACACTTCCTTCCAGATCCCACAGGCCGATTCCACTCCCTACCTCCCCACCGCCATCGAACCCCAGATGCCAGGTCTATGGCTCACAACTTCGAACGTCATACTTGAAGACGATGATGCGCCTATGACACAGCATGCCGCCTTGCTGCTTTTGGAGGATGCCGAAGTGCTGATCAAGGATCTGGGCGGTGATACCGGTGGCAACGCCGCAGCCATCGCATTCTACATACGCAACATCATACCCACCAAGTCGCTACTCAAGATCTCGAAGAAGCATAACATATCCGCGCACGATATGGAGTACATTGCAAGCCATCTTGTCTACTGGCGACGGGCACGTCTTGTTGCTCCGCTATCACCACGCGACACATATATCGTCAGTCCAAACGCCGACATGACTGTTCTTCCAGCTGCGATATCAGTATATGCGCAGCGCTTCCCCACGTTGCCTACGCTGCCCAAAGTACTAAGCATGCTCTCCGGTACACCACGACCCTACAGGAACTTCATACCCACCGCCGAACATCGCGAAGCGTACATGGAGATTCTAGCGTGGCTCATGCGCGGCGGCTGGGTGACCCAGTTGCGCACATTCGCTTGGGTGCGCGTGACGCCTGAGATCAAAGCGCAAGTCGCAGCCGAGATGGAGCGCGAAGAACGCATCAAGAAAGCTGAGGAAGCGCGCAGAGAGTTGATGAGCGACAACGATTCGGTGGCGGATAGTCTGCTCTCCGACAAGCGAAGCAGCTTGCTTTCGTTAAACTCCGCGAGGACTTCATCGCCTTTGCGCCGCACGCGCAGGGATGCAGATGAGGAGATGGAGAGCAGCACGATATTGAGCCCACGACTCGGATCAACCGCCATGTCGCGTAGCGTTTCTGCGCGGACGAGTTCGGACGCCGGGAGCACGAGCAGTCAACGCACGACCATTGCGCTTACGCCATCACAGAGAGCAGAGTCGCCATCGCATCTCGGGCTTCGAGATGTTAAACCCCATCGCCCGTCGCCTCTCCATCTGAAGCCAACTTCGCCATCTCCATCGCGCAATTCGATAGTCTCGCCCACCTCCCCGGTAGAGAAGCTCGCCCCACCAGACCCATCGTCCTTTGCACCCACCACCATTCTATCGCCACAGAAAGCATCTTCGATAGAAGCGCGGTGGCTCGATAAGATCGCGCAGACATTCGAAGAGACGGCGATCATCTCGACGAATCCCAGTCCGCCGAAACACGCAGATGGCGCGCTGGGTGGCATAACCGGTAAAGAGCTGCGGGAGAGCTGGCCCATGCTGCTCAGGCATCTAGATGGTAAGCATGCGATCGAGGATGTGTCGGCTAGGGAAGGCATCAAGCGGAAACGGGTCGCGGTGCTGTTCAATGCGGTCAAAGAGAGAGGCTGGCTGGTTATTGCGCGGCATTGGTGAGTTGGTGGATGATGTGGTGGTGATTTTTGATTCGATACCCGTGTGTTGGTTGGTTCTGAACCGTAGTTCGCTCAACCCACCTCATTCCAACGGAGAGAGCGAACACCCTGGAGCCTACGTTGACGTGAGGCAGGCTACTTTGCGCGTTTTTATCTTGATGTAGGCTGCAGGCTGCCTCAGTTCAAAGAAAAGAGTGGACACCCTGGAGCCTACATCGACGTTGGGTTATCTAGTTTGCATGATTTTAACTCGATGTAGGCTGCAGGCCTCTTTAGTTTGTTGCTTGCATAATACGAAACTTCTGTTTCATTCGCGCAACAAGATGCTCGCTTGAACCATAGTTCTATGCTTCACATCCACCGGTATCATTAGCCCTTCGCGAGATCCCTTGGTCGAGCCTCAAGTACTTCCTCTTGGAAGTGACATCACCCGAAGCTCAACCATGGCTTGACATTTCGTGGAAATTTCTAGCCTTGCCAACACTTCATAGATAACACATCCCTCATCTCTCTTCTTTCTTACCATCTTACTATCTACGAAAGCAAATTCTACTTCACAACAGCTTTCGCACCACTACAAAGCCAAACCACCACCAAAATGCGTGGCCTCTTCATCGCCTTCCCCCTGGCCCTGGCCTCCGTTGCCTTCGCGGGCCCCATCTCGATCCCGACTCCTGCGGTGCCGTCAACGCCTGACTTTACGGCGATGCCGCGCATGACCGCTGCCTCTGCCTCTGCCTCTGCCGTCGTCGCCGCCCCCATCGTCACCGCAACGCCCACGACGCTCATCACCAAGGCGTCAGATCTCGAGCCCCGCAAGCACAAGAACAACCACCACCAGCATGACAAGGACCACTACGGCTACGGCGGCTGCTCTGAGTACTGGGATGGGAGGTTGATTACGAATTGTCCGAGTGTTATTGCTACTACGTAAGTCCTTGCCTATCTATCATCCAAGCCGAAATGGGTTTGGTCTTTGGGTTTTGGTACATGAAAGCTAATGAGATATTGTAGGCTGGAGTACCATGGCACGCATCCGCTTATGACTTTGGAAGGGGGGAGAAACCCTAACCCCTGATTGTGAGGGCAAGTATGGGGGTATGTGAATTGGGATGGGAGGCATGGGGGGAAGAAGATTATGGTTTGAAAGTGGGGTTGGGAGACTTTGGTTATGGTTACATGTATGAGGGTTATTTAGAAGGACATCGGCGCTTGGGTTTGGGAGATGGTGGACGGGGGCTGCCGGTGCGTTCTGAGGAAGCTGTGAGGATATCTTCATAGTGTTCAGTCATTCCTCTAGCGGAATTAACCAGTACTCACGATCAATTGTCGAACTGTAAGAGCACGTTAAGCACAACAAAAAGCTAGACGTACCATCAAGATGACATTACGTTCACAAACAACCACCGCTATGCAAAGATATCCATGTACAAAACTCGCGTCTACATCCCATCAAACAACAATCGTCTACGACGCAGTAACAAGCACATAACTCGTGATAGCATCCATCCTCTCCTTGGTCAACTTCAGTCCCACCTTCAGCAACTCGGTAGCAACCTCTTGGTCCTTCCTCTCCAACTCATTATACTTCTCGCGCGTAAGCAGCCAAGCCACCGAGTCGTTCTCCGCCGCGACTGTGCCCGTGCGATCTGTCTCGGAGAAGAATGGCAGCTCGCCGCATGTAGTACCAGGCAGGATCACCTCAAAGAAGCTGCCTTGGTCGAGTTCGTATTCTGTCCGCAGACGACCTTTCTCTAGGATGTAGAAGCCGTCTGGGTCGTCTCCGCGCGAGTACAGGACGGTGCCGGCGGGGTATTCTTTGCGCTCGAAGTAGGGTGCGACAGCTTGCCAGAAGTCTTCGTTCTTGGTGGAGACATCTTCGAAAGTCTGGAGGATGATCTTGAGTGGTTGGGCAAAGTTGCGCCAGCGCGAGGGAGCGACTTGTGTGGTTTGGGTGGTGCTTAGCGAGGTAGTGTCGGGAATGGAAAGAGAGTCTTCGCCGCTTTCGCGCATGGTAGATCGAGCTGCGATGAGTCTGGCACCGCGTCGGGGCGAGGAGAATACGGGGTTGAGAGAGCTGGCGCCGAAGGATGTGGGCGTGCCACCGGTGGCGATCGGTTCGTTGGGGGATGTGCCCTTGGATCCGGAGATGCTCATTGGCGGTGTGGTTTGTGGCTTTGTCGCGTGGCGGTTCCAGTGCTTGTGGAAGACTTCTAGCAACTCGTTCTCGCAAGACTCAAGCGCAGTGTTTAGGTCTTCGAAGACTTGTGGTGGAGGGCACTCTTCGTCGCCGTCTTCGTCCAGAAGACCGACGTTCTGCAGGGCTCGACCGACTGGATCAGCGAAAGAGACTCCCGAGATGATCATCTTGACGTTCTTGGTGTTCAGGATACGGTTGATGCGCTGGAAACCTTCGGAACTGGAAAAGTCAACGTCCAAGACGTGCGTAAAGTCGACGATGATGAAGCTGATGGGGTTCTTCTCGAAATGATCGTCGTCGATCAAAGATCGCATGTACTCTTCCACAGATACGATAGTGCCAAAGAACAAGAAACCGCCTAGCTTGATGGCGCGGATCTGACCTCGGACTTTGTTGAGATAACGGGAATCTGATCTTGGGCGGCGAACGGTGGACTCTGCGATCATGCCGCTGTATGTTCCTCGGATGGCTGAATGACGGGAGCTTTGCACCACGTAGCTGACGCACGCAAGGACGATACCGACGAAGATGCCAACAACGAAGTCGTGTACGCCCATGATGAGTACAATAGCCAGGATGGTCAGGTATTCGAGCTTGTGGCATTTGCCAAAGGTATCCCAGAGAGCTTCTTTCATGAGATCAATACCCAGGAGGAAGATGAGTGCGCCGACGAGGCAGATCGGGATGTAGCCGACCATGGCCGGGCCCGCAACCCAGACGGCGGTTGTTGCAAATGCGAGCATGATACCTGCAGTTCGGCTGTTACCGCCGTTGTCAACGAACATGACGCTGTTGGCGTAGACGAGGTAGTTCTAGGACTGTGTTAGTGATTGTTCGTGAACGATGGTGAGAATTGTCTTACCTGGATACTACCCAAGCAACCAGAGAGGGTGTTCGAGATGCCGTGAGCAATCAGCTCTCGGTTGACGTCGAGGTTGTCCTCCCGCACCGCGGCACCAAGAGCGGGGACATTGATGGGAACGTGGATGATGCCGAAGAATGAAAGGGCGAACATGGTGGGGATAGTGCTGATAAGCGCCGCTCCATCTATGCTGCCGAATTTGAAGTAAGAATAGAATCTGTAAAACTTGACACCAGCTTCTGGCGTCTCGAAGATCCAACCTGCGTTGCGCACAGGCTCAAGGTCCTTGTGCATAATGCCCTTGACGATGATGTAAAAGACAGCAAATACGGTAATGAAGAAAGCGGGTAGAACGAAGGGGCTCTTGGACAGACGCCGGAGGATCATGATCGTGATTGCAAGGGCAAGCGGTAGTGTCCATAGGTACCAGGTGTCACCGGAGAATAGTTTCTGCAGGGTAGCGAGATCGTAGTTGAGGTTACCTTCGAGGCGTGCGGATACCTCAATTCCAGTAACAACCAGGAAGAAGCCCACACCACCGATGCAGCCGATCAGGATGTGTCTGGGGAAGAAGCTGACCAGGTTGCCTAGCTTGAAGGCTCCGAGGGCGAGGAAGATGAGACCGGTCAGAATGGAACTCAGACAGTAGGAAACGATGGTAGTAGCTATGATGGCCTCCGGTGGTTTTCCCTCCATCTGGTTCATGATGGAGTAGGCCATTTTGTGGAAGAAGGGCACGACCTCGATCATCTCAGATCCAACGCCTCCTTTGAAGACGGAAAGCCCCAGAGAGTAGCAGAGTTGGGAAACGATACAGCTCACGAAGAAGATGGAGATACCATCTGGGCCAGTGTTGCTAAAGATGGGCGCACCGAGTGGGAACAGGATGTAGCCATAGGACAGCGCATCCAAGAGGTTCAGAAGCAATCCCAGGAATACGGCCGACGTGATCTGAACACTGCTGAGAGCGCTCGAGATGAGAGCATCCTTGGTGTAGTTCTTGGGGTTGGTTAGAGACGCACTCACGTCCAGTAGGTGTCCCCGTCCAGCAGCGAAGGTCTGTTTGACGCGTTGAGGCAGGCGCGACTTGGAGTGCGGCGTCCACGAGTGGCTCTCGGAGGGCTTCTGCTTTTGTTGCGGGTCCGGGCGGGATAGTCTGGTCTGGGGCAGCAGAGGCGTGCGCTCGGTATCCTCGACAACTACACCCGGCACGTGTGAGCTGCCTGGTGTCTTCTTCGCGCTCTGTGACGTCGCTCCCGGCAGCTTGGGGCTGAAGAAGCCCTTATCAGCCTGTTGTGGCCCGATAACGGTATCGGGCGTCTCGGCCTCGCTGTCCTCCTCGATGGTGTCGGTCCAGCGACCCGTGTCTATTGAGGCGCGCCCCTCGTCGTTATCGGACAGTATGCCGGCATGTCTCCCAGAGAACGTGTCAGGGTCAGCGAAGCTGTGGCGCTGGGGTCGGTCCTGGTAGTCTTCGGCCTCGAGGGCATACGAGGCCAATTGGGAGCTTCTCTCCCGCACGCCTTGGGACGAGTACTGAGGGGTATCTACGCGGCAGTCAGTGGCTGCCCATAGATGAGGCTTGGGGTAGGTACCGGCAAACCCGTGGGAGGTCTGATGCGCGAAGGAGCGGATGGGATTGCGCGTGTAGGAGCCAGAGAGAGGACCCCCAGCGATTGAATTCCCTCTTATCCGGCGTGGGAGGGACTGGCTGCCCTGCTCGGCATGCGAGGCATCGTGGGCGAAGTCGGCTTCGTTGACGGCGTCGCTGGTGAAGGGAAGCTGCTGCTCTGCTTGCGGCGAGTCGCGCGAGAACAGACGGGACGGCATGGCGCCTGATTAGGAATATCTAGGTATCGTCTAACGTTCAAAACTCAGCGACGCATCGCCAGACCCGCGGAAGTTTAAGTGGAGAAGTCCAGGCGGGATCCAAACTTGGAAGTGGAGGGCTGCTACCGGGAGCTAGGCGGCGCTGGAGGCGGGTTCGACAATGCCTCAAACAGTGTCGACGTGACGCGACAAAGGTGCGCCTTTGAGTGAAATTGGCGTCGTCGCCGGAGATCAGACATGATGGTGAAAGGCCGTCGGGTGCAGGGATTGCGCGGCTTGTCGGAAGCATGGGGCGCGCCTCTGCTAAAATTTCCTTCAACACCAAGTCCACGGGTGAATCGAGACCTGAGCTCGGTGGACGTCACCGGCCGCTAGCCACTCGCCCTTTCCCCTTCCATGCTGCCCAATTCCCAATCCAGCTTCCGTCCTCCCCGCATCTGCAACCTGCATCATCTCCAATTCACCCGTTGCTTGATTTCAACTCCCAACGACGCGATATGGCGTCAACCGTCTCCGACATGTGATCATCGCCGTTGCACCTGTCGCCGTTGTCGCTGCCCTCGCTAATGCGCCTCAGCCAATCCGCGACGAATCCCACACGTTCATGCATCGCGGAGCGCACCGCGCAGTCCTGCAGGTGGATCCGCTTTCGTCATGCGAATTGTCAAAATCCATCCTCACGAGTCAGAATACCGTCCGTCTGAATTCTCTTCGACGAGTTTGCACAAAAGAGTTGGATGAGTATTGGTCATGCTTACTTACACGATAAGAGATTGCGGTTCCGCGCCTTCCAATGTAAGCGGCCATCGTTATATGCCCGTCGCCGGCAAGGAAAGACCGTCCCGAACAACCCGAATGCTCCTTCCTGGCTATATCCACGTCCCTCAACAACCCCGCTTCGATGTCAGTCAATTGCATACAAAGTACCGGCACAGCGGTCCTCATGCGTGGACTTCTCGTACAGGTTTACACCTCCGCAGAATCCCTGGCGTTTTTATACAACCGCTTTACGTGGACCTCGCATAAGAACGTACGACAAAGACCTCCACAACCAATGCAGATCATATGAATCCCCTCATTGTCGCGGCGGCGTGCGTGCTGGAGCCGATGCCTCATCCGATGGAAGCTCACTCGGTCGTGTTCACAGCTCTGACGGCGTAGGTTGTTGAGTGGAGCTTTAGGTATGCTAACTATTCCCTTTGGCTTGCGCCTTTCTCAAATATCGGCAATGTTTGTCCTTGGTCTAGGTGCAGAGGATAGCCCCCCGATGCATCCTGAACATTTGTCGATGTCGATGCTTCCTACTCGTTGTATCTGGACCCATCTTTGGAAAGATTGCAAAGCGTCTTGATCTTCACAGACAAATCACACCAGCAAGATAGTTTGATCCTTAGCTTTTTCGAGTGCTGCACTTACCGCAATCCTAGTTTCCCCGCTAGTAGTAAACGATCCGATCCTCTCAAAAGCGCCTGGATGCATGGTGGACTCCACTATACAAAGGCCCTCCATCTCCTTCGGCGAGTCGACAACAACGCCGCGGCGCAAGAGGATAAGCAATTGAACATCGATCACTCTGTGATCATGGTTACGAGCTTCGCCTGTGTTATCAAGTCCGATTGCAATTGTATTGGGTCGAGCGTCAGGCTCAACTCCAATCGTCGGCTCTGCCATTGACGGCGGCCAACCACCCTTGTCCATGGTACAATAGGCCGTGGGACATAGCACATCCTTTCTGCCAAAGCAGACGCTGGCTGGTATGAGTCTGCACTCCAGGAGCACTGAGGCTTGCTCGACCTCTCCGGAAGGCTTTGTTGCAATATCCAGTTTGACAACTGCTGCCATGTTGTGCGGACGCCGATCTGCTTCAGACCTCCCAAATGATTGAAGCTTGTCCGCAGCAGAATAGATTGAGCCTGCGATGCTTGCCCAGCTCCAACTAGGCGCACGCCACACCGCCGGTCTCCTACAGCTGCTGGTCGCTGATCGCCAACACATGTCCTCAATCAAACGTTCTTCCCACAGGCCGGCAACCAAGCGATCGCTCATGACGGCTCCAACTTCTTCTGCGACACCATTGAGCGCTACGAAGATGTCCGACTCTTTGGTCAAATCGTCCTCACTGTAATCACTCAGGAATCGACCCCACGCTTGATATATCAGGTTTTGGGCGAGCTTTTCTGTGTCATCGCTAGGCTGGCGCCCGAATCTATGACCATTGAATAATTCAGATCTCAAGATGGATTCGATGTCGGGTCCTTGCCATCGAATGCTGTTGAGGACCCTTTTAAGGGAATTAGGATCGAAGAGTGCATCTATCGAAGAAGGGTCGACGCTTGTTTTGGCGTAATTTTCATTCGTGTAGGACTCATAACATTCCCAGGCCAGCACTTCTTCCGTAAAGTGCAAGATGCGTGGGGAAAGGAAACGTTCTTGAGCGACCCAAGCCCTTCTATTCAAGGGTGACAAGTTGACAATGGACGATACGTTGGGCGAATGGAAGCCGAATAGGTATGTACCTGGATTTACCCAGCCGAACGAGTCCTCCCGTTTGGTATGCGAAATCTCGACTGTTACCGGCGTGAGCTGCTGAATATCACGGTCGTGGAAAAGGCCAGCATCTCCAGATGGAGCAAAGGTTGCTGCGATGCAGAAGGCGGCTTTGCTGTAAACTTCACGGATGCGTCTTGCCTCTGTAGCCCAGTCATCGAGATCATCCTGGAAGATGCATCTGCATATTGTCAGCGACTGCAAAGCCTCGCGAAACGGTAAGCTATTACAAGGAGTCGATCCAGATGTATTGCTTTTTGAATCTTCGCGTGACGATGATAGCGTCCTGGAAAGTCTTGGGTAGACGAGAAGTGGAGAAGCCTTTTCTGAGCATCTTGGCGGTCGCTTTTGTCAGCATGAGATGGCATGGATCCTTCCCCCAACAGTGCGAGAGCACCGTGTAGGCTCCAAGAGTGGTAGATTCGACATGCTCACACAGGCGGACCGTGTCTTCCTCGGCGGACCCAACGTCGATTACTCTTGTAGGCAGGAAATCGCTGAGGGGAGCGAGACCCGAGCACTTGGCATGGAACATCTGGCATTCATGGAATTGTCCTCGAAGGAACGACAGGGCTTTAGCATGCCCTGTGTTCCTGGTGATGTGTTGAAAATGTAGATCAGGCCTCGCTTTGCTCCAATATCAGTTACATGTAACACAGACAATGGTTCACAAGATTGCCTCTCTTACACTCATAGGGTTCTAGAGTAGGATATACGTGAAGAGAGTCACTCTCGAACAAGAGTTTGATACGTTCGCGAGTTCCCCCGATTCCTTGGTAGCGCGTAGGTCCGACACGATACGGGCCCATTCCCCTGGTGGTCCCTGAAACTAGGTCAGCTCTGTTACTTTTTGGTCTTATAAACACAAGTTATTTACTATGTTTATCAAAAGCTTTGTAGAGTCGGACACAAACGTTACAAGGACGCTCCAGAGCTTCTTGAAAAGAATCTGCATCTACATGATGAACAAACTCATCATTGAATGTGTAGCTCCCAGTGTAAACTGCACATGCTCCTCGAAAAAAGACTTTGCAAGGCTCGCAAAGCGTGGCTGGTGGTAGTCTCGGGGCTGTTTCTTCTTGTGGAGATCGTAACCTGCCCATTATCGCAAGAGGAGGAATAAGTGTATCGATAGAAGTGCTCATACTGGTAACCGCGTATACCAGAATAGGTGATGTGAACGGTATAGTATCGGTGTACCCAGGATGGTTGAAGTAGACTGAAAGGCAGTCACAACCCCTCATTCCCAAAGTGGTAGTGGCTGTACATTATGCACGACGACGGCGCGGTTAGCGCTAACGCTCAAAGAGTGAGACTATCGACCTACAGGGATGCGCGCCGCGAGTGCCGTGTAATTGCAAGTGTCGCAAGGCACGCTTGCCGAATACTCACAAACAATAATGAAAGTGCGGCTAGTGTAGATAGTATAAGAGCAGTATCAAAACAGTGTTTCACAGCCCATTGCCTTTGCGAGCACGTCTTACCGTCCAATCATATCCTGGGACTTGATCACGCCGCCTCAATACTCTCGAGTGCTACAAACAGCTCACTCCAGCAAACAACATCAAAGCTATCGCGATCATACCGTATACCAAGGTACCATCTCAACAACCAGCCTGAACCAAGATCAGTCCCCAGTCTGACTTAAAGACGCATTCTATTCTCATTCTTGCCCACAACACAATACTACAGTACATGAAAATACCATCTCGATAATAAGACCAAACTCAGAACAGGTCCCAATCTAATTCAAAGACGCGCTCTATTCTCATTCTCGCCCCCAACACACCTCACAACTTCGGAAACCTAACCCTCAAAAACTGATTCGGCCACGCAACATCCAACCCCAACTGCCACGCCACCCTAAGCACCCACTCAGGCTCCCTCATAAACTGTCTCGCAACCAGCACAACATCCGCCAACGGCTCCTTCCCCTCCGTAACCCTAACCGCAGCCTTCGCCTCCTTCGCCACCTCCTCATCCCCAATCCTCGAAATCGTCGTCGCCGCACCACCCTCTTCAACAATATCCCTCGCTTGCTCCGCCTCAGTAATCAGACCCACAGCGCCGATGAAAAGACTGAGATTCTCTTTCTTGAGCGCACTCCGGATCTGGGCGGCGATTTTGATCTGGTAGTCCTTTGAATCGAACATGTTGATGCGTTGGGAGGGGTGGTTTCCTCCGCTGCTTACGTCGAGGAGGTCGATGCCTAGACCGGGGAGAAGCTTTGCGAGGCGGATCGAGCTTTCGACGTCCCAGGTTCCGCGTTGCTTTCCGAGGTCGGTTTCTTCCATCCAGTCTGTGGAGCTGATGCGGAGGTACAGGGGCATCGTGTCTGGGATAACGGCTCGAATGGCCTTGGTGATTTCAACAAGGAGGCGAGTTCGGTTTTCGAAGGACCCGCCGTAGGCATCTGTACGCTGGTTTGTAACGGGGGAGAGGAATTGGTGGATGAGGTAGCCATGCGCGCCGTGGATTTCGATCACGTCGATACCGGCTTTTACTGCTCTTTGCGCGGCGTCGGCCCAGTCTTGGATTAACTCCTTGATCTCCTTTTCGCTGAGGGCGCGGGGGGCCCAGTACCCGCTGCTCTCGTCATCTGCGGCTTTCTCGTCCCACGCCCAATCTTGGCCGCCCATGGGGCCGACGACATTGGTTGGCCAGCCGTCGGCGTCGACGTCGGCTTTGACGCTGACTTTACGCTTTCCGCCTTGTGTCTTCTGTTCGCCGGCGATCCAGGGCGCGCATGTACTTGCTTTTCTACCTGCGTGTGCGAGTTGGAGACCACTCTGCGCTCCTTGGCTCTTGATGAAATCCGAGACTCTTCGCAGCGCGGGGATCTGGGAATCACTCCATATGCCGGGGCAGTTTGGCGAGATGCGGCCGTTGGCTTGGACGCCGGTGGCTTCTATGAAGACTAGGCCTGCGCCTTTGAGGGCGTAGTGGCCGAGCGTTGCGATGTGGTAATCTGTCAAGGCCCCGATGGTGGGGCCTGAGGATGCTGTGCTGTACTGGCACATGGGCGCTACTAGAATGCGGTTGCGGAGGGTGGTGCCGCGGATGGTGAGGGGCGTGAAGAGGGTTGGTGTTGTGCCATTTTGTTTGGTGTTTGGGGCGGGCGTTCCTGGGGAGGTCAAATGCTTTGGGGTGAAGTATGGGAGGCCAGGGACGCCTTGGTTGTAGTCTTGGGGTGCCATGTTGAGGTGCCGAGTCTGAAGGATTGGGTCGACTATTCTTGTATAAAAGAATATGGGAAATTATAAATCACTCGGGAAAGGGTACTACAAGAAAAGTCCAAGTCGCCTATGCTAGAGCACGCAATGCCGTTGATTTGTAAGTATCTTTTGGCGTGGAGATAGTTGCCGAGGTACATCTGCACTTGCCTGAATCAGAAGGTGCTCAAGCTGCGAAGGCTTGCGAAGTTCAAGCCTTCGAAGAACTAAGCTTCGTCGAAACCGTTCATGATATTGATGCCTCAGGCATTGTAACCGCCACTATGTATGACACCCCAGAGCCTCCGACAAGCACACACGTACTAGGGAACGCGGCCTCAGCGCCCATAGATTCCATCAACGGCATGTGGTCAATGGCTATTCCTTTCGAGTGGAGAGATTCTAAAATCTGGACGCGACTGAAACCAGAGCTGCCGCAGAAGCGTCTAATGCTTACGCTGACGCGCGAGCTCGAGCGCGTCTCCATGTGATGTGCTTAATGACGTCAACGTAACCGTCACTCAATATAGTGGCCAAACCTCCAGCGCAAGTCGTGCAAGACAACCAACCATCTACAACTATTCAAACTATTCCCTAAATATCCCTGAATCCTTCTTCTTACGAATTCACAACACACATCAACATGTCTGCCGCACCAAACAACCCCGGTCTCGTCTCTTCTCACGCCCAATACGTCAAGGGCGCCGCTGAGGTACGCGACGACTCGCCTTTCAAGTACTTACAAATGTAATGCTAGATGCTAACTTCATCCCAGGAGACCATCGGAAACGTCACCGGCAGTGAGCCATGGAAGGCATCGGGTGCGCAAGACAAGGAGCAGGCCGTAGACGCCATGAAGGCGGCATCAGCGAACCGCGACCCCAGCCAACAAGGAATGGGCGGTATTGAGGAGAAGGCAGGGAACCTAGTTGGCTGTGAGGGCATGCAGAAGGAGGGTGCTGAGAGCAAGAAGGATTAGACGGCTACTGCAGTTGTTGGAATGAAATAATATGATGAGAGATGAGGCATCAATGCTGCTACATGTACATGCATATCCTATATTACTCTTCTGCAACATGACTACCAAACATGTGTTCGTACGTCATTGCCTGCTGTATCGTGGAGGTGAAGGGCCGACCCTGAGCTTCGGTGGTCCGTGTGAACCTTGAGCTTGAGCTTCTCGCAATCGAGCTTCAGCACCACAAACTTTGCCGTCGCATAACTACCAGCCCCTCACCAGTCGCGTGAAACATCGTATCCCAAACATGGCGCCTCCAATACGCGCGCGCTCGATCAAATCAGATTCCTTCCACGAACACTTCCGAAAGCTCAAGACATCCGTGTACCAAGACAGCCCTCGCCCAAACGCCGTATCATCCTCGCACTACATCCGCACACTCTCATGGAACGCCTCTGGTACCTTCATCGCGACCGGTGCCGCAGATAGGACACTGCGCATCTGGAACCCGGAAAAGACGAATGCTAAGAACTCGACTGAATTGCGCACGCCCAACACGACAGCAGCCCTAGAGCGCGTATCCTTCCACCCAATCAACGAGAATGAGCTCGCAAGCTCCACGTCTGATGGCATGGTTAGGTTCTGGGATATACGGTCCAAGGCCAGTGTTGGTGAAGTCAAGGTCGGCGAGTGTCCCTTCACCCTGGCGTGGACGCCAGATGGGAATGAATTGGTCGCAGGTAGAAAGGTTAGGACCCCCATAGCCATGCAAGACACACATGCTGACATTCTCTAGGATAATCTCCTCGTCACCATCGACCGATCGACCCTAAGCATCCTCTCCGAACACCAACAAGTTCTCCAAACAAACCAATGCGTCTTCGACTGGTCTGGCAACCACCTCTACACAACAGCCGGCGACGGCAGCGTCAGAAGCCTTCGTTACCCGTCTTTCGAAAACGCAATGACTTTAAACGCCCATACCTCCGCATGCTACGCCGTATCACTATCACCCAGCGGCGAATACCTGGCAGCTGGCGGCGGCGATGCGCTCATCTCACTATGGGACACACAAGAATGGATATGCACACGGACTTTGGAATTGACCGGTGGCATCATCAAGTCGGTCGACTTCTCCTTCGACGGTAGCTACGTGACTGCGGGCTCCGATGATAAGGAAGAGAAGAAGATTCGCATCGCGCATGTCCATACTGGAGAGATTGTACATACGGTCGATGTGCCGACTCCAGCGTCCCACGTCGCCTGGCATCCGTGTCGGTATATCCTCGCATACTCCGCGGATAATTTGGGTCTCAAGATTATTGGGGGTATCAGCTAGTCGGCATAGGAGAAGCACAAAGGGAATGGCGTTCACCAGGTCTGCAGGTTCGTATGATACCCATCGTAATCGGAATTCAACGCGCAGCCATGCCGCGGGATCTTTTGGCAAGCGGCTTATTTCCGTCTGTGACGCAATCATTGTGCTCCATGTCGGAGTAGCAAAGTCCGTCTTTGCCTCTGTGAAAGTCAAGTCACTTGTCTGCATCTTCCGTATTCTCTCCAACCTTCATCACCATGGACGTCTCAACACCAATCAGACCAAACGACATCTTCTCGGTGAAAGGGCTAGTAGTGGTCATCACAGGCGGCGGCAGTGGTACGTTACTCAAGCTTCGAGCTACCCCACCAAGCCCCGCGCCCTCACGCTTCGACATGCTCGAGCTCAAAGTATCGTAGCCAGAAGGCTTACACAATCACAGGTCTCGGTCTCGCCATAGCATCAGCACTCTACCAAAATGGCGCTGAGCGAATCTACCTTCTCGGCCGCCGCCGCGAAGTCCTCGAAAAAGCCGTCAACGACCTCCAAGCCAACGTACCGCGCGACTCCAACACCGCCGGCACCCTCCACGCCCTTCCCTGCGACGTAACAGACCTCTCCTCCGTAAAAGCCGCCGCCGACACGATACAAAAAGACATCGGCTACGTCGACGTCCTCATCAACAACGCCGGCGTCATCGGCCCCAAAAACGGCGCCGACATCTACAAAGCCGAGTCCATCCAACAGCTCTCAGAAACCATGGTCGCAGGCTACGACAACTGGGCCGACGCAATGGCAATAAACACGCAATCCGTCATCGGCGTCTCCGCCACCTTCCTCCCCCTCCTCGAAGCCGCAAACACGCGTCGAGGCTGGACCCCCGGAAAAGTCACCGGCACAGGAAACGCGCGCGCCCGCTCCACCGACCTCGCCTCTTCCAACAGCATCGACACAGACGACGACCGCATGGCGCACATCATAACCATCGCCTCCGTCGCCTCCTACATGCGCTGGGTCTCCGCGGGGCTGGCCTACAACGCTAGTAAAGCAGCCGCCGCCCACCTGGGCAAGATGATGGCGACGTTCCTGTCTGAATGGGGGATTCGCAGTAATATTGTGTGTCCCGGGCCGTATCCGAGTGATATGACGGCTGGGCTGAATCCGGTGTATGGGACGAATCAGATTCCGCAGGGGAGGATGGGCGGGATTAAGGATATTTCTGGGCTGATGTTGTTTTTGGTGGGGAAGGGGGGGAGTTATGTTAATGGGACGAGTATGTTGACGGATGGGGGGAGGGTGGGTGTGTTTCCGGCGGTTTATTAGGGAGGGGTTGTGTGTAGGGATGAGGTGGATGGCATAGGGCGTGCAATGGTGTTAGGTGATTACTTTGCATGGTTCTGGTCTTGATGCAAGCAAAGATTTGTTTAGTTTTGTTCTTGTGTGAGGTGGAGAGATGCGGATATGATGGCCTGTCCGCGATTCGTACATAATTGATCATATGAGATGGTACATGAAAGTATATCATTTTCATTCATTGGCATGCTTGTCAGGTATCTATGCTATCCACCACCCCATCCAACCCATCCCTTCATAATGCCATGCTCGCTCCGATAATGCAACTCCTCCCTCATGACGACCCCGCGTCCAGCAATCCGCTGCCTCTACCTCCTCCCCTTCCATTCCCGTCCTTTGCCTACCCTCCCAAGTACCCCCCTTAGTTCTCAGCCCGTCACAGGCGCCCATCTATTTCCCGTTTTCCTTCGTTGCCTAGGGCCATTTTTCCTACGATAAAGGGTCCAAGAATCGTCGTTGACCTACATCCGACCCAACACGCCCCTCACACTCCCCTGCAGGACCTGATTCCCCCTCACGCTAATCTCACCAATACCCGTGTCGCCCCCGGAGCCGCCATTTAGCCAGCGCTGGAGAAGCGCGTTACTCTCCATGGGCTTGATATTCTGGGCCGCTGTACCGACTGTAACGTGCGCAGTAGGATTCACAGTCGTGAAGAGCAACTCCTCTGTCGTTGTGCCCGCTGCACTGTCGATTTGAAGTGTGCTAGAGCCGTTCAGACGTACAACGAAGCACATGATGCGGTCGTCCCATACGATTCGCTCCATTTGTACGTCGCACTTTCCTAGCTCTGGCTCCCAAGTGCCTGTAGTGTTGGTTCGCTGTGCGGATTCGTGGAGTTTGCTGAGTTTGTCCCAGTATGCCTGGTTTTGAGACGCAGATGCGCGGTGGATGAGGGTGACGTGGAATTCGTTTTGGACGCGCTTGTTTTGCTTGAGTTGCTTGTACATGCTTGCGGTATTTGCGTCCTTGTCTCTGAATAAGGATTCGAGAATCGCGTTGATGCGGCCGGGGTCGAGGCGGACGGAGAAGTACTCCATGCGTGGCGCTTTCTTGGGCTTTGGTGCGGGCTGGTTTTGCTGGTTGTGGGCTGCTCGTTGGCCGTTCTGGGGATTATGGTTTCCCTTCTGGTTTTTGTTGCCTTGGGACAGATCCATCTTAAAGTCTGGTGTGTAGTCGTTCATGGCCCACTGGATGGCAGCGTCCATGTCGGGGTCCGTCGGCATCTCCTTACCGGCGAACAGGGCTGGGTAGGTCTCGAACATCTTTGCGATGATCGTCTCGAGGTTCTCGCGCGAGTCGACCGTAGGGTCGAGGTCGATGACGAGATCGAACAGATCATCTGGCTTGTCTGAAGGGTCGACTGGTTGGAAGCGATGCATGAAACCTTCCATGATCTCGACAATCTCGCCCCTGCCTTTCGAGCCTGCTTGGATCGTCTGATGGTTGTCTCCGCGATCGAGCACGCGCTTTTGTGTTGCTTGTCGGATGCGATCGTAGTTGGATCGATCGTGCACATAATGTAGTGCGACGAACCGGGCATCGGGTACTGTCTTGGAGATGTCATTGATGATCTGGTCGCGTTCGCGCTTTTGGTGGTTGTTGCGATCCGCAATTACGACGGGATTTGTGACGAGCATTGAAGAGATGGTGTCAGCGAAGATTTGACCGCGACCCTTCTTCGCTTTGACGTTGTCGTTCTGGAAGTGGCCCCAGCCGAACAACTTCACCAACGCGAGAGCGAGAGTTGTCTTTCCGCATCCGATAGTCGCAATAGGGACAAGCACAATATTCCTGTCAGCCTTCTTGCTCTCGACAGGCCCGTTTAGCTGCTCCTGTCGGATAATATCCGCACCGGTTGTTCCGCGGAACTTGAGGAAGTCGTCGCGCATCTTGATGATGCCGTGGTTCGCGTTGTACTGTTTGGCTAGACCTTGATTCTGGGCAAACTGCCGGCGAGCAAAGTCTAGATACTCCTTCGTGATGGCCTCGTGCTTCTTGTACCGCGGTGGCTTGCCCGCGATCAAAGCCCTAGTGCACTCACGCCACTGCCTGTACATTAGATATGGCTCCTCGAACTTGTACTTGAAGAACCAATCCACATACGGCGCACCCTCGGTCTCGCGCGCCTGGCACCGGATGACGAAGCCTTCTGTGTCGCGGCCTTCGTAGTTGCCCGTCTCGGCGACTTTGTCCAAGAACTTCTTAACCTCTTTGACGTCGTTCTCCATAACGTATGTGACCTTCCTCATGCCCCACTCCTCCGCGAACTTGTCCACCAGGTGGCCAGGGTATGTCGCGAACTCGGGTAGGTTGAGGTTTATGCCGTGGACGTAGAGACCAGCCTGCTCGGGGGTGTATGCTAGGACGTGCTCTTCGAAGTCGTCGTCGCATAGCTCAGCCACCAGTGTCGCGTTCATGGATCGGAGTGTGCGGGCGAGGTCCTCCTTCCTCTTTCCAACGGTCGCAACATGGCGCTCGACCCACTTCTCGCCTGCCATGGCATGGCTGAGCTCTTCGCCTCGTGGGCCGGTGGAGTGCTTGCTGCAGACCAACAATGTGCCATCATCGAGACCGGATATGAAGATGATACAGCCGTTCTCCTTGACGCTCAGCTCGTACGGGCCCTGTGTGTGTTGCTCCACGTTCTTCCATTGAGTCTTCGGGACCTCGCCGTGGTTGAAGAACTTGTCGTATCCTCGTGTAGCAATCTCGTAGTTGCCGTCGCGGTTCTTGTATGTGAAGAGCCCTCGCGCGTATGTGGGAAGATTTGCCTTCTTGTAGTCCCACTCGTTCATCTTCCACGAGTCGACGGTGCGGCCATTGGGGAGCGGGAACGTGTGCTTCTTGACGGAGAAGCCGCCCTTGCCCTTCTTGCCCTGGTGCGCCTCGAGGGTGTGGACCAGCTCGGTGATCTCCTTCGGGTCTTGGGGCGCATACGGTGCTTGGTCGCGGTGCGCCATGATGGCCGTCGATCGGAAGGACCGTGGAGACGTGGGGGAAGTTCGAGTAGCGCTTCGCAATGGGCGATGTATCTGCAGGAGAGGCGCAGGTAAGCGAAAGGTGGTGGGTGGTGCAATGCAAAGGCGTGGGAGCGGGGAGAATGAAATAAGACGAGCGAGCATTCGGTCAGGCAGCAAGCAAAAAGTCAAGACAAGGTGCGCAGCAACGATGAGTCAACAAAACAAGCACGGCAAGGGCGTTTCTCACCAGAGCTGCGCTGCAAGAACAATCATTAAAAGGGCGTCAACACGGCGCAGTCGCGTTGAGGTCAGTCTAGAGTCATGGCGACAAATCTGTGTCCAAACAGCGATGAGATCACTCGCCCGCCTGTGGCTGTGGCAGGGGCTGACTCCCGCGGGGTCAACGCCGCCTAACCCGTTTGAGCAGCATCCCATTCCTTCACATCGCATTTACACACTTGCATATGTCTATGCATAACCCTGGTCGATTACTATCAAAAGCTGCGGAGAATTTACCGAAAGATCCACGGACCCGCCGCTGCATGTCGCTCCCGATATCTGTGCATTGACACCTAACTGTGCCGCATTATAGCTTCTTTACACCTTCAGCCAAGATCTTCTCAACCTCATCCTTGTGCTTCGAGAAGTTGTCCACGAGATTGTCCCTATTGTTCGATCAGCCTTCACCCATGATGTTTCTCTTGACTGCTCAATACATACCACATCTTTGGGTCGTGCTCGTGCTTCTTCTTGCTGCTCCACGCCCAGTCGGTGATGGTGAACATCCTCGAGCTCTCCATCATGAACGCGACGGCGCCCTTGGAAATCTGCATCTCAGGCGGCGGCGCTGCACTTGCCGCTTTGAACTCTTCATAAGCAACACCGTGAGGTACGAAGCCGCACTCGAAGCTGATGCCTCCGGGTTGAAACTCATCCGAACGTCCGGCATACTCGCCATAGATCAGACCCATGAGCTCAGATGCTCCGTTTCGGTGGTAGTAAGGCGGTCGGTAAGCTATATTTTCGTTAGCATCTCTGGCGCATGTAGAGTCTCGAGCACATACTGTGTGAAGCCACATCCCAGCGCGGGCTGAAGATCAAAAAGTCTGCAAGCGGTGCTGCCGGGTCGCGCGAAGGTGCGGTAATGACGCAGAAGATGGATGGATCAATATGATCAACCGAGATCGAGCCAACATTGACGAACTTGGTCAGATCGTACTTGTACGGTACGTAGTTGCCATGCCATGCAACGACATCAAACGGTGAGTGCTCCTGCTTGCTGACGAAGAACTTGCCAGCGAGCTTGTACACAATCTCCCACGACTCTTGCTCAATCTCGTACTTCGCGACCGGGTGCAAAAAGTCCCGAGCGTTAGCAAGCCCGTTCGCACCGAGAGGACCGAGTTCAGGAAGTTGGAACTGCGAGCCCCAGATTTCGAGAATGTAACCCCGCGTTGGTCCTTCAACCTTGACTCTGAATCGCTGTCCTCTCTGAATGACGCAGATCTCGCCTGGCTGCACATACATAGGCCCAAACTCGGTCTGGATGTCCAGGGCTCCTAGCTGAGGCACGATCAAGAAATCGCCATCCGAGTTTACAGCCGCTCTCTTGTTCATGCTCGCATTGCAGAGGTACGTGTGAACAGCTAGGCCTTCGCGGAGTGTTGGGTCGCCAGAGCCAGCAATGCTCTTGAGACCAGAGATGAAATCAACATCGCCATCTGTCGGGGTATCGAACGGAAGCCACGCTAGCTGTGTAGGGGAGACGTGAACGCGCTTGTTCACGGGGAGGTAGTTTGACTCGGTATCTTCGTTATCGGGGAGGTCGGTCTGGAAGTTTGTCAGCAAATGAGACAAATGATCAAACGTCGTTTCGATGCGCTATCAGTCTGACT